GTCTCTCAGTCGTACCCTCTTTAGATATGTCCTTTAATCTTTCTTAAAGGTCTTATTTTCCTATCCTTTAATCATCTTAGTGGGGGGAAAAAACCTAAGATCCTTCCTCTGGACGTAGACACTGACAAGCATAAGTATCTTTCTATTTTTCTATCCAGGTAATACCTTTCCTGTTTAAATTGAAATATTGCTGTTGACTCATCATAGCTTTTTGAAAAACACTAACAAAACATGGCTCTGAATAAGTTTCAAGATAAAATGTAGAATGTACAAATAAACCAAAATTGTCTTTCCTTCCTATTACTCTGGTTCCATTTTCAGCCCCACTTCAAGGAAAAATACGAGCCTTGATTATCCATTTTCACCAAAATAGCATTTACTCAGGCAGGAATATTAACTCAGGTAAGCAAAATGATTGTTCCTTTCATCACAGCAATTCCACACTTACTCACCTTCCAATTGACTTTTTATAGAATATTAGTTTGCATTAAAAAAATCCATTTAATTGCATTGGAAAAACACTTTGCTGCCACAGGCCAATACTGTGTTGCAGCTGCTCCTATTTAAGGGATAATTGTAGCCTCACTCTTCTACAAGGAACTAATTCTGATTTTGAAAGGATTTGTCCTCACAGTTTATCCTGATGAGAGAGGACTAGATTATTGCCCTGTAAAATAGCTGAATAGTCCTATTACAGCTATTATACCGCAAATGTTGTATATTGTTGAAGATCAAAGTACTGTACCACACTCAATGGTGAGATGTACAGGCATGGCATATTTCCCATACTATGTAAAAATACCACATTTTATGAGTCATTTAGTACCATGTGAGGTATCTATGGGTCCAGTGTCATTTCCTCCAAACTTTCCTCATCATTCTGAAATCCTTTATTTTCTGGTTGAAAAATTTACAATCTAGTCATTTCTCACTAGTCTCCCCAGGAAATAAACTTCAATGCTCTATGTTCTCCTCTTGCAGGATATTACTTACTGTGTATCATTCTATTTTACATTTAAATTACTTCTGAAAATGTTAAATAATCCTGGACAACAATAGGTTGTAACTGGTAAACTGAGAAAATGCAAACGTTTTTCATCAAAATCCCTAATGATGTGTTTTGAATCTTTAAATTATGTAGAGCTCAGTATTGATCAGGTTCAAGAAAAAACCCAAACTATTCCCCCCAATAACATGAATAAAAAGGTACATCTGAATATACATAATACACATACACAACAAAATGCCTTATAACACAAGTTGTTCTCTATGAAATGCCAAATGAATGGAATTTTTAAAAAATGAAGCTATTTTATTTATTTTATTTTATTGCATTTTATTGTATGAGACAGGGTTTCACTAAGTAGGTCTGGCTGGACTTGCACTCCCTATATAGCACAGGCTGGCCTTACACTTGCCATGATCCTACTACCTTAGCTCCTCAAGTACTGGAATTACAGTTGTGCACTGCTACCCCTGGCAAGAATGAGGCTTTCTTCTAACAGGAACTTATGACATCAGCTATCACTGACATACTGTTTTAAATCAGAGGAGGCCAACATAAGAATGAATCTTAACTTGGTTTTTCAATATGGCGTGCTTTGATTTTAGTTTTAATATTTTGCATTTCAAGACTAGTCCCCCCATATACATGTTTCATTCTCATAGTTAATCTACACTGGGCTTCTACACTTGAAGAGAAACTAACTCTAAAATGTAACACAAAATACTTGATGAGAAGTACCACTTTCTGCGAGTGATTTTTATAGAATTCTCATAAATCACAGATAGGATTAGCTGTCTAAAGGATATTTTCCCCAAAGTAACATATTCTGTGCATGTGACTTGGAGATGATGCTACAAGATTGAGGACTTACCTATATAATAGAAAGAATCAGTAAACATGAAATGTGGTCATTGAAAACAACTGCCAGTTTGAAAACACAACAATTTATGAAACCATAATTAAAGTGAACATAGGTGGTGCTGAGGCAAGAAATCAAATGTTGAGTGTACTTTGTAGTTATTGGTTAGGCTTTCCAACACAATTTATAAAGTTATATAAGATAATGAAATTAAATGTAAATTAGATCTGATGTTAGGAGGAGATCTAAGACATAGTAGGCAACTTGCAAATTATAGGTAGTGGTATTATTACATCAATATTAGTAAGGAGATAGTTTTTTCAAGGACACACGTTTTGCTAATTAAAATATATTAACTTTCTGGTTCAGATGAATACGTCATAGATTGGATGTATAAAACAGTTTATGCATGCTTGTTCAGAAAACCCAGGTAAACTGCTAAACTCCATCTCTAAAAAGGCAAAGGAAATGAAGGTATCCTGGATGGGGTGATTCTCAAGGTCCCCTTGTGAGGACCAACACAAAATGACAGCATAGCTATAAACTCATCTAGAGCAAAAACCATTTTAAGGAATTTGAATTTGTTTTTAATTTCAAACTTTTGCACAATATATCACATTAGTAGCTTTTTTTACAGCTCTTTGTGTCTTTGTTGAATAAGATATAAGGAACGAACAAATAAATGAATAAACTTAGGATATGGAGTTGAATGTTCTACAAATCGAAAAGTGGTAGAATGCATGTTTATTTTGTAAATTAAGATTTGCTTAATGCTATGGCTGCATATGATAGGCATTGGGTGGAGCACTGTAAAAAGAACGTGTTTTGGGAGATAGACCAAGATGATCTCTGTGATCTACTCATGTTGCAGAAATGATTAGAGTTGAGAGCTTTTCTCTTTTCCAGCAGCTCATATCCTCACCATGAAAAACACTAACATACTATGTGGCCCCCACACTGTAGCAACCAGGCCTCAGATTAGGAAGCAGAGGGATACAGAGGACCCATGCATTTTAGTTTTCCATCAAGAGGGAGGAAAGTTGTAGGGACAATGTACCAGGGGGGAGATAGCATTATCTTCCAGGTGTCAATTGGCTGACAGCATTATTTTTCCAGTCCTGAACCATTTTATTTCTCCTCCTCATATTCACAGGGTTGTCAAACAGAAATCGATTATGGGTCTTAAGAAAGATTTTAAAAATCAAGTTTTGAACTATGTAACATATTGGTAATGACCACTGGATATAAGACAGAAATTTAAGCTTAGCATACCTATCTTTTAAACTTAAAAGGTTTTATTACTGTCGTTCAATTTGGAGATACATATAAACACAACTTAGTATCTACAACTGAATTTTGAAAGCTGACGCTATAAACCACAAAATTTCACACACATTTTATTATAAAGAGCTTATGAGGAGGAAGATCATTTTCTACTCCTTACTTTTGTGCTTCTAAGGGTTTCTGAATGTGTAGAGGGATTTTTTCCTCCTTCTTCCCAACTCTACCTCCATCATGCAACTCTTCAAGGTAAGGAGAAAGCTGAAGTTTTTGCTACTTATGGAAATGATGACCAGAAGAAAAACAATGGGTCAAGATAAAAAAGGATGTAAGAACTGCAAAGCAATACGTAACAGGTTCCCAGAAGAATTTTGTGTACAGGAGACATTCCAAAATGTTAATTTTATTGTTACTTATACTGTCACCCCGATCTTTCTGCATATACTTAAGCGCAGCTAAGAGACAAAGCTGGGAAGGTACGAAGCAGCTGGCAATCACCGTGTACTAGAAGCGTGCCTAGAGTGGCACGAAGTTCTCTGCATCTTCCTCGGGCCAGAAACACCACAAGGAAGAACTTCCTGGATCTTTCCGGGGTCCTGGGCTGCTCACTCCTGAGGAGGGAAACACCTCCCACTTCTACTTGGACTTCTCACTGGAAAACGCGGGTGGGGGGTGGGGGTGGGGGTGGTTCCTGCTGTTACAGCGGCCAAATGCGCCCTAGCTGTCCCAAACACCAAAATAAATCTACTTGCAAGTTTGTAGGTTCGTGGAAGCAAAAGGACAAAACATCACTAGTGATGTGGATACCCCATTTGCCAACCTGAGAAATGGGGAGGCAGATTCTAGATCTGCCCTGCACTAGTGCCAAGAGTTGTAAAAATAGAGGAATCCCATAAAGGGCAGCTAACAACCCCAAGTGTTTTCCCTCCAGCACGATCATGATAACTGCTTCCTTATTTACCCTTCGCATCACCCCCAAGGTCTTTGTGAGTCTCCAAGGCTGATCCAGACTTCGAACACCCTCGGGAGGCAAAGAGTGACAGCGCGGAGGGGCCTAGGGCGGGAGCTAGAGACCAGGAGCCGCTCTCACAGCCCGTCCGCGGCCCGCAGCCCTCGGAAAAGTCACCTCCACCGCACGTGTGGAGTAGAGGGTGTCGGCTCGCCGGGTCCGGGCAGCGGCGGAGAAAGAGGCGGGAGGCGCAGAGCCGGCGCGGGG